TTCTCAAAAGGCCACACCAGAAACCAAGGCCAGCTGCCTCCAATGTGAATCTAGTTGTTGCTCAGCAAGAGGCACCTTACTAAGGGAGGACACACTTGGATGTGGCTTGGGTGGGGCGCGAGTTGGGGAGGCAGAGTTTCTGGGAATCCTCTGGGTAAAGCAACCTCTGTCATCCAGTTTGATGATTTCTCTGCTGTGGCTGCTCTGAGTCCACACACTGGGAGGTGGGAAGGCTCAATAGGGGAACAATGGATACCCCTAGCACTTCTGTGCAGAGTGAATCTTGCCTCAGCCCTCACTCTGATGACTCAGTGTCCCCCTGTAAGTCCCTGGTGCCCCCCTGCACAGCTGAATGGGGGCCGGTGCTCAGAGCGAACAGAAGCATCACAGTGAATGTTCACTTGTGGATACAACCCCTTTAAGAGATCTGCAGAGGTTGGCTGCCAATGCTGTAGCCTCTGTCTCATTCAGCCACTGGGGACTGGGCAGCCTCACATCCTCGTCCTGTCCTACCTTCTGCCTTAGCTGGGCGATTTCTTAGTTTTCTCTCTAGTTGTGTGGCTTGTTCATATAGATCCCAGGCAATTTTCCTTGCTGTTTGCTCTTTGTTTCTGTCAGAACTTTGACTTGGTCACCAGTGGTATGAACAGAGTCTCTATCATCTACGCCATTTTTTTTTTCTCTAGCCATTTTATCTTTTGCTTTCTGGTAGTTTGATGACTCCATTGCTTTCTTTTTCTTGTGTGTCTGTTGTTTTAAATTTTGGTTGGGTTTTGTGGAAATTCCCTCTGGTCTTTCTTGTTTTATTCTATATACTTCAGTTCTGAATCTTTGGTGTGTGGTTGCCATTACAAATATGTAGAGGATAGTCATAAATCCTTTTTCTTCTGCATGTGCCTTGTCTCCATTCTCCTTTGCGAATATGATTCTTTGAATCCTCCTCTTTTCTGTTATTGTTGTCTCAGTTTGTCCCTATGTATGCTGAACATTAATTACTATCTTACAATAGCAAATCTCTTATTGTTTAAGCATATAATGCCCCATTCTTATTAAGGGATGCACTTCTCTGCTTCTAACTGCCTGCTAGTCACCTTACTTATAGTTTATACATATATAGTATATAATATATGTATAGATATAGATATGTATACGTATAATATATGTATACGTATAATATATGTACACTTTTTAGTCGTTGTTATCTCAGTTTGTTCCAATATATGCTGAACGTTCATTACTATCTTGTTATAACAATTTACTTCTCATTATTTAAGCTTATAATGCCCTGTTCTTAGTAAGGGTTGCAGTCCTTTGCTTCTGTTTGCCCGATAGTCACTTTACTCCTAAATATGTATTTTTTTTTTTTGATCATTTTTTTTTAGGTGAACTGATCCCTTTCACTATTTCCTGTAGTACAGGCCTCGTAATGGAGAATTCTCTCAACTTTTGTATGTCTGGAAAGATTTTTATTTCTCCTTCATATCTAAAGGAGAGCTTTTCTGTAAACATTATTCTTGGCTGGTAGTTCCTTTCATTTAATAATTTGAATACTTGATTCCACTCCTTTCTGGCTTGTAAGGTTTGTGCTGAGAAGTCCAATGATAATCTAATGGGATTTCCTCTGTAGGTTACCGTCTTTTTTTCACCTGGCTGCCCTGAGAATTCTTTCTTTGTCATTGATTTTAGATAATTTTAACACAATGTGTCTTGGAGAAGGCCTTTGGTTAAGATAATTGGGCATTCTGTTGACTTCTTGAATTCCAAGCTCCAGCTCATTCCTTAGATTTGGGAAATTCTCATTCACTATTTGTCTGAAAATGCTTTCTAATCTCTACTCCTTTCCCTCCCCTTCAAGAATGCCCATTATTCTTATGTTTCCTCTCCTGATGGTATCAGTTAGGTCTTATATTTGTCTTTCATTATTTTTTATTCTTCAGTTTCTCTCTTCTTTCTTCTGATTTGTTTCTAGACTTCTGTCTGTGATATCACTGATCCTTTCCTCCATTTGGTCTATTCTATTTCCCAAGCTTGCTATTTCATTTTTTCATCTCTTTCAGTGTGTTCTTCATCTCCAGAAGTTCTATTTGGTTCTTTTTGAGGGTTTCAATCTCCTTGCAAAAACTCATTGTGCTGATCTTTTGTTTTTTTTTTATCAATTCCTGTGGTAACTATTATACACAGATCCCTTGCTCAGTCATGCTTGTGTGCAGGTTAGGTGTTTTTTGTTGAGTTTTAGATGTTCAGCTTATTGTTTCAAGGGAGAGATCTGGGGACATCTCTCACTCTGCCATGTTTCTGATGTTGCTCCCCATGCTGTTAATGTTTTAAAGAGAGAATGGAATGCTTTCGCTGTGCATTGTTGAGTAGAAGTTGGTTAAGAGAGTTTCTAAGTTCCTTGCTTATTAAAAAAAAATTCAGATATGTACAGAGTAAAACGTTAAAGTTCCCCTTAATCTATCCTCTTTCCATGGAAAATGCTGTTTACATTTGATGTGTATACTTCCTAACACTTCTATGCATTTATCTGTACATGTGTATTGCTTAAGTTATATGTTTTGCCAGGTACTGAAGTAAGGCCTTGATAGGAATTATCTTGCTTAATCTTCAAAACTCTATGAGATAATTCTATTATCTTCATTTTACAGATGAGTAAACTGAATCTCAGAGAGGTTCAGTAATTTTCCCTAGGCCGCATAGTGACTAATTTGTTCCTCCTCCTTAGAGTACATCTTATTAATGTACATGAATCAAGTTTAATGTTTGGATCCATTCATCTTTTGAACCAGTAAATTTATTGAATATCTTTGCCAGGTACTATACATAATGCTAGGTGTTCAAATACATAGTTTCTGTTTTCAGGTACCTGGAAAAGGTGAGCTAAAAGATTTGTCCTAATTCATACAGTTAGTAAGTGGGTTGAGCAGAATTACAATTCAGGTTTGTTTTAACAATTGTTATGTTTTGGTAGACTGTGTTTTAGAGGTAGCCACCTTGAATATTATTGTTTTCATGAGAAATCAGTGTCCAGTGGTTAAGCCTCATTTGTAAACTGGAAATCATAAGTAGAAATTCTATAAAGTTTTAAATTATATATATGCATATGTATATATAAAGGCAAACACTACTGTAATCCAAGGGAGATGAGGATAAGTCAGGATGCAGGCTTGGAGTTCTAATTCCTTGAGTGGGAGCACCGATGGTAAAGGATTAGCTCAATTAAGAAACTTTATTAGAATGTTGAATAGTGTTGGCTTAAACAAGAACAAGCAATTGAAAAAGAAAATTAGAAATCCAGAAAAGAGACAATAAGAAAATTGTATATAAGTAAAGTTGTATATAAATAGGTATTGTGAGAAAAAAGTCATAACACAAAAATTGAGAATTTGGATCATAATGGTTGAAAAAATTTAAAGGCTGCATGTTGAGACATAACCAAGATCTCACTTATATGCAACACATTCCACAATGCTGGCCAATTTCAACAGTATAGTATGGAGGACTGAAGGAAGATGCCTCTCCCTGAGACGGGTGGAGATCTTGAGCCACATGAGTGTCTGACCTCCAAATGCATAAATGCCAAAAGCTTTCAGAGCCCATTGGAAAGTGTGCAGGGATGGAAGAATCAGAGGATTATTCTTATATGCATGGTATGGGATCTTACAGAAGGAAGGAAAAAGGAAAACTTACAAGAATGGCTATATATTCTTTGTAACTACCTTTGTGAAACATTAACATATACAAACACAGGGAATGTGGTAATGTGGATGGGGAGGACTAAACACCCTATAGATAAAAAGAATAAAAAATGAGGAAGAGAAAGGAAAATTTTGAGTTCTTAAATTGTTTGAAAAAAACTGAAGTCTATGACGGAATTTGGTCCTCATCACTGAAATGTTTCTTTGGTGCTGAAAAAAGTATTGCTGTCATATCTCTCTTTAGAATTTTCATAATAAAAATCCCATGGCAGCTCCTTGTATGGTGGACTTTTAAAAATTGGAGTGATTTCATCTATCTGGAATGGTCTGTGTCAGCACTTGCCCTAGGCAAGGTTGCCACAAAAGCAAAAACTCCTCCTCTCTCCTCCCTACCAGATGATCCCTCCCCACTGCCCTCCTTCCCTCTAAGTCCTGCAGTTCCCCATGGTGGACTTACCTTCTTTTTCTGGACCACAGTTCCAATGTGACCTTCCACATAAAATCAAAATCCCTTTCCTTTAGCTCTCTCCATGTGCTAGGGACGCTGTTAGGTTTCACCTTTTGTGGCCTATTTGCACTAAAAAAATAGAACCCTAGTTAACCCACATGGATCTCAGAACTCGAATTGGTGGAGCTAGGGACAGTGTAAGCAAGTGGAGAGAAGTCCAGGGGAGAGGGAAGTATTTCTGGTCACTGGGAGAAGGGGTTGGGGTAGGCTGTCTTCCTGGAAGCTATTAAATCCTACATATGGGCTTGTTTCTGTGTGATACTGCTTTGAGGGAGCCAGCAGGGGGTTGGAGGAGGGTGGCTAGACTCTCTGACCCCTCAAGGTTGCTGTTAATTCTATCGGTTGGTTATTTCTAACTACATTTCCCCCGCACCCAACTTACTTTGCAACACCCTAGTACCATGTGAGTTGGCTTTAACTAGGGGTTTTCAGCAGCATGTCTTTGTGCCTATCAGCCAGGCCCCAATTTTCCCATCACAGTCCTCCCTACAAACAGCAACCATTGGGTTTAGCAATAGTGGTGACTGAAAATCAGCACCAGACATACTCAGCTCAAAGACATTTTCACAGAAGGTTCCTCAAAGCTCCAGTTCTCAGAGAAGTGTAAGAAAGGGCCTGTTTTGTTCTCGTAGTGTGTGTGAACTTTATGAAGAAAAAAAAATGTGTGGCTTTGTGTGAACAAAGTATCTTGTATGCAGATTTGGTGGGGAAAGCTGCAAAATGAAATCTACTGAAGAAGCTCATGAATAATTTTGTCAATTTCATGCTGGATCAACAAACATTCAAGAGCCTCTACTATGTGCCAGGCTCAGTTAGATCTGGTGAGGAAAAAGATAAAGCAAGGTCCCTGCTGTGAAGGAATTCAGTCTAATGGGGAAGACAGATATTACTTGTTAAGAAATGCCATGTTTGAGGTAAGAGAGGGTGTTTGGAAGCAGGGTGGTTGCCCTTTGGCTCAACCTGCTGCTGAGAGGGATCAGAGAAGGCTGTCCCAGGGAGATGACATCTGAACCAAGTAGAAATAAGCCAAACCAAAGAAAGGTGGGAAGGGCAATCTATGTAGAAGGAATGACATGAGCAGAGGCATGAGGGCATGAAAAGACTTGACATATATGGGGAACTACAAGCAGGCTGAGATTATTAGAAAGGAAAGTGATGGGCAAAGAGAGGGGCAAGAGATGAGTCTGGAGCAGCAGGCTGGCTTCTAGAGGGTGAGAAGGCCCAACTTCCTGTGTTAAGGAGTATAGACTTCATCCTGAGGGGAGCCACTGAAGGATTTTAAGCAGGTTAGATTTGCTTCTTGATTAAACTATCTGTCAATTTGGGGAAAATCATTCAAATTGCCCAAGGGATGAATTGATTAAAGAATTCCATTGAAATGGTAGATTTGCCGATCTAACCAAGTGCAAGGTTTTGTTTTTCCAAGAGGGTTTGTCATTAGTCTGAGGCTTTTTAAGGGGTTACCCCTAAAACAATTTATGGATAGATGCGCGTTTTTATCTGTAAAACTCAGCATTTGGGGGATGCAGTGCCTCTAAACAGTGCTTAAAGGAAACAATATTTGAAGAAAGTCTTGTTGCTTCTACCATTTATTTCACACAGCAGTAACAATATCAAGTTAGGAACACAAATTGTGCTATGATCTCTTTGTTTTGTTTAGCAAAAGTCATCCGGGAAGGCACTGTTTAACCTGAGTTGCAGCCATCTAAATCTTGCTGAAAAGGAATATTTTGGATTAGAATTCTGTAGCCATTCTGGAAATAATGTAAGTTGGTTTCATTATAGGGTTCTCTGTGTCTAGAATTGCTTCTAAATACAGTTTTCAGCTAGGTTCGAACCCCTAATTGAAAAATGAGGGAAAAAAAACATTTAAACCCTTGCAAAATGACTGAATTTAATAACTATTTTTCCTCCTCCATACTTTTCTATTAAGTCATCTTAGCTTGCCAAACACAAACTCTTCCACTCCATGCTCCTCTTTTGTCATTCTGTGAACAGCTATTTATGCTTTATCTATTCTGACTTTCCAGAGTCTGGAAATCAACCTCCATAATTAAGACTCCTAACTTCACCAACGAGTATTTGGGGGACTTTCCTTTCTTCCCAATCTGGAGTCCTAACTTACCTGATGTTTTTCCTGCTGCGTTCTGCCTTGGCATATCTATTACCTGGAATCTTCCCAGAAATGCTCATTATATCTATTAAATTGGCATTTGGGGGCTGTAGAATTCAAATGTGGAGCCAAATGCCTTCATTAGTTTTCATAGCAACTAATGAGCCTTGTATGTGACACCTCTGTCATTCTACAGACAGGGGAGCAGTGATTCAAATGTCAACAACAAAGAGTTTACAGATCAACAATGTTCACTGTCCTTGAGAAAATACAAGGGGGCAAATTGAGTGTGGTAGAGGTGTACTATCTCTTAGACATTGCTGTTCTAATTATTATTAGACTTCTAAATCATTTTGGTATTTATTTCATGTTGACTTTTAACTGGTACTAAAAAAAGTTGCACTCAATACCATGTTCTATCAATTTTTTCATTAATACTATTACAGGTTTGGTTGGAACTTCTGAAGCCCATTACAAAGCAAGTAAAAAGTAAGTATGACAAATAATTTAAGGAATATAATTTCTTGTTAAAACTTGAAAATATTTGAATGTTTTAGCAACACCATACTATTCCTCACCTTAATATAGGGGGAGAAAAGGGCTTTGATGTATTATTTTAATCTTTCATACATCTAGTGAATTTAACAATTAAAAAATGCTTTAACCTTCTCTGAGATGTGAAGAAAATCATGCTGCTGGATCTTTGAGTAAATCTGAAGAACTCTGGTAATTACAGCACTCTGTGGATTGGCTCTGAGAATGTATCTCAGGTTCTAGCACTGCAAATCTTCAAGCATCTTTGATGCCCATCTGCAATGCCATTGACCTTCTGCCTGAAGATGTTTAAGTTTTATTCTGTTAGATATTGTCTATTCTTTTCAGTTCATATTTTAGTGCCTACTATGTATAACATATTCCCTCTATGCTGTATTTCAAAATCTAGTGTGGTGGTTCTCAAATTTCAGTGTGTATTAGGATCATTTGGAGTTCTTGTTAAAATAGAGATTCCCAGATCTCATTCCTGGGTTGGGGGCCAGCTTCCTACATTTTAAACATGTTTCACCAGTGTTTCTGATGTCAGTGGATTTCAATCAACACTTTGAGAAACATTCTCTTACAATGTCTGTTCCCCCACCTGCTCTTTACATGTTGGTGCTTCCCACAGTTCTGTCTCTTTCCTACCACAAAATGATAATGTCACATTATACCAACAGCTTCCAAAACAATTCCCCCTAACCCATCATGTACAATACTCCCAAAGGGAACTATTGAAAATACAAACCTGCCACATCAATGTATTTCTTACAATGCTTCCATTGGCTCCTTATAACTCTTAGAATAAAGTCCAAACTCATTAGCATCATCCACAAAACGCTGGACTCTGCCTGCCTTTCTAACCTTACCTCTACCACTGACCACTTTGTATTCCTACCTTTCCTGACTTTGACTAAACTAACCTCAGCTGTAGGCTTCTCAGATAAAATAGAGGATGCCAACTAAATTGGAATTTCTGATAAATAATAATTTCCTTGTATAAGTATGTCCCATGTAATCATTTATCTAAAATTGAAATTTAATTGGGAGTCCTGCATTTTATTTGCTAAATCTAGTAGCTCTGCTCAGGTGTCAACTCCTATAGAAAGCCTTTTTTGATCTTCTGCAAATTCTTTCCCCCCCTCTTATGCTTCTCAAGTACACAGTGCTTATAACACTTGTAGTGCTGTAATTGTCTATTTAGATGTCTGTCTCTTCTACCAGAATATGAGTGCTTAATTGCCTTTTTATTCCTGTACATGCCTAATACAATCCTTGACACAGTTTCTTATTTTCAAATGCAAGTAGAAATGAAGGCAAGTAAATATGTTTGATGTAAATTTTAAGATACGTAGACGCATCAGTTCATACTGCTTCCCTTAATGAGATCATTCAACCAGGTGATATCCAACTGCCTCTAAAGCTAGGCCCTTCTCTCAACCAGGAATGCAGAATCCCAAGTAACATGTGGTATATTTTTCTAAATAGAACACCTCTTAAGAGAGGACACAGTAGGCCTGAAAGAGGTACATTTTCACAAAAAGAAACTCAAAGGTAGAGAGGGTAGGAGGAGGGCCAGGAGAACTTTCCCAATTGCTATCCACATAGAGACACAATGCAGAAATAGCAGCATCATACAAATGTGAAATTTTGAAATTTAAAAGTCTGTGGAAGGGAGAGAAAGGGAGAGGAGGGAAGAGGAGAGGGGATTCTGTGTCTGTGTGTATAAACACCTGTAACTGTTGTGATGGACATGTAAATAAAACTTATGGAGATATTATGTTTTAAGATCCTAAGGAAGTTGTTTTCAAATTTATGGTGAAATTTTTCCCAGTGGATCCTGGACATCTTCAAGAAGAGCTTACAAGGTATAGTACTTGCTTGCTGTTACTTAAGAATCATTATTCTCCATTTTTCAGGGAATAGGCTTCTAGCTTTCTTTGGAAGGCTCGGATTTCAGTCATTCTCTGGGAGATAGTGAGGAACTGGAGAGAAGGAGGGCCAAGCTGTTCCTCAAATGGTTAATCTTCCAAAGGATGAGGACTTCAAGGAGAAGGAGGAGCCAGTGTTCTAGAAGTGTAGCATGCCTGAGTGCCCACTTGAGGGTTATGCCATTAACTGCTGCAACAATTAGAGTGCTTGTCTTCATTTCACCTGTGTTCTGATCAGGGGTAACTTGACAGCACAAGTGTAATACCAACTAATTTCCATGGATATTGAAAATGGTGTGTGTATGTATTCCATAGGTAGAAAGTGATGATGACATATACTTATAAAAAAATTTAAAAAGTAAAAAATATAAAATTTTAATAAATTATTTATAATGCATAATATAAATTGATCTTTTGTAATTATTTAATGATAAATTAATAATGTAATATAATTTAATAATAATTTATAATGATAAATTATTAAAATTGATAAAAGTAAAATATTTTATACTTATAAAAATGAAAAAAGTTAAAAAGTTAAAAGTATAAAACATTTAAAAAGTATTTTTATACTTATAAAAATATCCTTTAAAATTATAACGTGAACCTACTTTTTCAAAAATACATTTTCAACATAATACTCCCTATAACCTTACTCTGCTTTCCAAACTTTAGACTCTTACATTTAGAAGGGATATAAGAGATAATCTAGTCCAGCTTTCTTGGTTCACAGATGAGGAAACAGGTCCTGGAACCTAGAATGACTTGGCCGAGATCACAGTGTTGGCAGATATTCTCCCTGAAGTTTTCCCCACAACATGATTCATGGCCAGTTCTTTTCCACCTCTTTTCTACAGGAGTATTTCTCTTTTCTGAGGGGTCTTTGGTCATTTTTCAAAAGTCAGTCTCTCTCTCTCCCAATTTTCTCCGCATTTATGAATCGTAGTCTACTTTCTCAGATAACTTGATATCTTGGTATCTATATTAGTTTGCATTTGCTAACCCATTTCCATCGTGTCTCAAATAGTGGCCAATTTTGATGGAGATAAACTTTCTCAGAAAAAAAAGAATGAGAAAATCAATAGGATAATAAATGATTCATCAGCTGTTCAGAGCAAGGATTTGTTTGTTGAAGCAGGCAGCTGTCTTCTTAACAGCAAGGAACATATCAAATGACCAAAAGGTTTCCTTCCTTTCTTGCTAGGAGCAAAACAAAATCACTTTCCCTTTAGCAATTGAGGCTGATGTTTCTCACTTACATCTATATTTGAAAGCAGGCAATGGCAAAGATTAGACTTCCTTTATTTTTTTCTTAATTGATCCATCTAAGAATACTTAACTATAGTTGACTTTACAAGGATATCTTACTTGGATCCAATATAGGAGTTTCTGAACTGTCATTCAAATATAATTTTTCTAATTGATTCATTTCTAACTCATTAGAAGAGCTCACAGTTGGAAGAATTATAATGATGAATGCTTTTGTAAATTGAATAATCACCTCCTAATTTACCCGTTTGGTTTTTCTAATCAGGATTTTCATCTATCACCTGAAATTAATTTTGATTCTCCACATTGCCTTAAGGCTTAACTGGTTTTAAATAAAAGTCCAGATAGAGATTTATTTAGAAAATTTCATCTTACATAGGGAAACACCCACAGTAGATACTCAATAAATGTTTTATGTATAAAATAAAATATTGGAACCAATATTGGACCATGGAAGAAAGTAGTCAGTGGTAGAATCTTAATTATATACATCTTTTCAAAGTTGATTCTCCTTTGATGATGGCTTAAAAGTGTGGCACAAATGCTATCTCTCTGACAAAGCTCTGGGTACCAGCCAGCACTTTATGGGTCCCTGATGAGCTGTGAGTGGGAAAAAGGGTAGTTTGGTTTCATTCCATCCAGGACACAGTAATTCCATACTTGCTCTGTGCAAAATACTGGGCTGGACTGTGGTGACACAGAGAAGGTGGTCTCAAGTCCTTGGTTTCTGAAACACAATCTTTTGGATAGGAGAAGGTCTGAATTCAATGGCAGACTTGAATTCTAGTCACAGACTCACTATCTTTGAGTGATATGACCTTGCCCAAATCACCTAACCTCTGTCTTTCTATAACTGTGAAATGGTGTGATTGTTCCTGCCCAGTCTACCTCCTAAGTTGTTTTGATAGTGAATGCTTGATCGCATTTTATAAACAGAGCAGTACTGGCCTCCTGAGTGGGCTGATTCTTGCTGAAATTTTCTTTCTCTCTGGCTGGTATGTGGTTTTGCTACGTGGCAGAAACCACCAGAGGATGATTGACCAACTCCTTAAAGTTGGTGGGAGGATTTGGTTGGGGTGATTCCTAATGGCTGTGAAGCGTGCCAAAGTGCTAGATCAGCTGTATTGCGGTCTAGTGCTGGTTTGGGGCTAAAGCAAAGCCTATAAATTACTCACCACCCCAAAGGCGCATCTCACTGACTGGGAGTGCCATTTCTTTTTTGAAACATTTTGGATCTGGGAGAAGGGAAATGCTTCTTTCTTGTTCCTGTTTCTTTCTCAAGAGATTTTCCCCAAATTCTTGGCAGGTATCTTTTTACTCTTCAAATAAAGATGGATTTGGCTCTAGGAAGGCTTCCATGCAGTGACAACTGTACAGCATTGATGGTATCTCACATCTTACAATGTAAGTAGTAAATGTTGGCTTTGGGGCATATTGACCAGGCAGAGAACCAGACAAAGGAGCTGAGCACCCCCAGTGCGCCCATCATTGTGTTAGGACTTATGGAGGAGAGAAAGCCTAAATAAGGTATATAGAAACAACACGTTCCAATAGAAAGAGGCTGTCGTTGAAGTCATGTCTGTCATTGCAGTCATGGAAATTTTTAATTTAAATACTGTCTCTACTACATTCTAACTGTTGTAGCCTTGAGTAAAGTCCCCTCACCTGTCTTTGCCTGAGTTTACTAGTCTTTAAAATAGCGATGAGACTACTTTCTCACAGAGTGGTTGTGTTTATGTAGATTAAAAGTAAATGCTGATTTTCTTCTATCTGGGTCTAACCTTCCCCTCTTACTCCTGGGGCTTGCCAACCAGAAACTGGTTTGGACTAATCCAGGCATAGACTTTGCTAGGCAGGCCCCCACTCCCTCTGCTTGCCCCAGGATACATTTCTGAGATGTGCTTTCTGTGGCACATTATCACATTTGATATGATTTCTGTGTTGCTCTGTATCATGACTCCAGAGAACAAAGCACAAAGTACAGCAGGTAGAGAGAGGATAAAAGGGAAAAAAAATCTCAGGCATCTATTAGAGTTCTCCATATCCTAGCAGCCAAGTAGTTGGACTAGGCTGAATAAGGAAGGCAGGGAGAAAGAGCCTGGGAAATATTGGGGGCTTGCCTGGGATGGGGTGAAGTTGAGAAGACAAGGTAGCTAGAGACAGTATCTCTTCTTCTAGCACTGGCTGTACTTTCTCTTTGAGAGAGGCCTTCCACTAATAAGCCTTTCTTTACCACTCCTGCAGGATCATAAATTCATTTTTTGTTTGTTTCACGAGTTCATTTGTTTAACTCTATCCCTTACCTTCCTGACAGTCCAGAATACGTAGATTTCTATTTTCATTGAGAATTCCAGAATGAAGTGCTTGGATAGGTACAATATCTGAATCAGTGTTTATCAAGCAACTCCTGACTGGGACAGGTGATGACAGCCCCAGGATCTCAGGAAGGCAGCGGGCGGTGAGACCAATAGTAATCAGGGAAGGCTTATGGAGGAGATGGCTTTTGTGCTGGACCTTAAAGGGAGACATAGGAATGATATAGGCAGGGAAAACAACATGAAAAAATGGTAGTGGGACAAAAAGTAGTGTATACAGAGGATGCAGCTCAAGTAAAGCTGAAGTATAGGGTCTTTTAAGGAGAGGTGGCAGACAACTAAGAATCATTTTGGAAGGCCTTGAATGCCAAGGACACTAACCGTATGTCCAGTATTGTGCTTAGCTTGGTGGAAGGCGTGAGTTAAAGCAGATAGAGAAAACAATGTTGGAAGACTTATCCTTCTCTATTAGCTGCCTATTAAAACCAATCAGGGGATTGGTGCTCCTTGACAGCCTCTAATGCGAGACCCCAATTTCATTTTTAATGTTCACCATTATAAATTTGGGCATTCCATAGTGGCCATTTCAAGACAGCATGAAACACTTCAGCTTTTATAGAGGATATTTTATCAATAGATGATATTTCCACAGAAAAAGGCTGAAGTTTCAATGAGTCAGCTCTTCCAAATCCATCCATGTTAGACTGTTTCATTGGGTGTTGAAGCAGTGTGCAGAAGACAACCAAATAGCTCATTCATTTGCTTATTTATTCTTCATCCAATATTTATATTCTAGGCATTCAAGAACTTCTACATTCTGACCTTCTCATCTGCTTAAGTTTTTCTTACACACCTCTCTGGCTCTAGCCAGACACTCCCTCCCAAACACAATTTATACATTCCAAATGAAGCCTCCCTTTTATGAATGCCTTTAGAAACTCTTCTTTGTTATTTATTCTTCAAAAATTTATTGAGTACCTACTACTTGCCAAGTATTATTATAGGCAGTGGGAACATAGCAGTGAATTAAGCAGACAAAAATACTTGCCCTCACTGAGCCCACATTTTGTCAGTGGAAGGGAGTCAGACAATAAGCAAAATAAGGAAATATATTTTGTATGTTAGAAGGTGATAAATGCATTGGAGAAAATAAAGTATGGAAAGGAGATGGGGAATTCTGGTGGTGAGTACTAAATTTTTAAATAAGATGGTCAGGGTAGGCTTCACTGTGAAGATGACAGTTGAACAAAGAATTGAAGAAGTTGAGAGAGAAAACCATGTAGAAACCTGGTGGAAAGGAGTTCCAGGCAGAGAGAATATCCAGTGCAATGGGCCTGAGGTGGGACCATGCCTGGAGTATTCAAGAAACATTAAGCAAGCTTTGTGGCTAGCCAAAACTGAGTGAGAGAGGAAGAGAGTAATCATGAAGGGTCTTAAAATCATATTAAAGACTTAAAACATTACTCTGAGATGGGAAGCCATGGAAGCATTTAGAGCAGAGGAATGAAGTGATAAGAATTGGGTTTTAACAAGATCATATAGGCTGCTATTGTGAAAATAGAAACTTGCAACGAGTGCTAAATAAGCCATAGAGGTCTAATGCACAGTATAATGAACGTAGACAATAAATTGTATTCTAATTATGTAATGTTATAATATTGTTATAATGACAATCATCACAATGTGTAAATGTATCAAAGTAATGTCCTGTATACCTAAAATTTATATAATGTTACATGTCAAATTTATTCAACAAAAAAGGGGAAAAAATAGACTTTTTGAGCGAATGGTGAAAGTGGGGAAACCAGATAAGAGACTATTACAGGAGAGAGAGAGGATGATAGTTTATTCCAGTGTGGTAACAGTGAAGGTGCTCGTTACATTTGTTATCTTCTGTTACTGATGATATTTACTCATTTGTATGTCATAGGTCTCTTCCTAGATTGTCATCATCTTAAATGGAGAAAAAACAAGCAGTCTTATGTGCTTTTATATTTTCCTTATGGTCAATTACTCAACAGTTTTTAGTAAGCTTACAAAGTTGTGCAACCTTTACCAAAATCCAGTTCTAGAACATTTATTTCCATCACACCAAAAAAGATCTCTCATGCCCATTTGCAGTCACTCCCTGTTCTCATATTCAGCTTCTGCAATCACTAACTTACTTTTTGTTTCTATAGATTTGCCTTTTCTGGACATTTCATGTAATCTGAATGACAAAATATGTGGTCTTTTTCATGTGGCTTTTTTCACTCAGCATAATGTTTTGAAATTCATGCATGTTCCAGCATGAATCATAGCACTTTGTTCCTTTCTATAGCTGAGTTATTTCATTTTATGGATATACCAAATTTTGGTTACCTATTTACCTTGTCATGGACATTTGGATTATTTCCAGTTTAACTATTATGAATAATGTTTTGAACATTCATGTACAAGTCTTTGGACACATGTTTTTATTTCTCTCGGATAGATTTCTAGGAGTGCAATTGATTGCTTCATCTTACAGTCAGTCTATGTTCAACATTTTAAGAAACTGCCAAATAGTTCTCCAAATTAAAATAATAAAACCAGAAATGTATGCAGTTTTCAATTTCTCCACATCTTCACCAATATTTGGTGTTGTCTATCTTTTTGATTATGGCCATTCTAGTGGGTTTGAAGAGGTATTTCATTGTAGTTATAATTAGCATTTTTATTGACTAATGATATTGAGCACCTTCTCATCTGCTTATTAACTGTTCCTATCTTTTCTTTGGTTAAATTCTTATTCAAATCTTTTGCCCATTTTAAAATGGGTTATGTTTTATTGAATTTTAAGAGGTTTTTATATATTCTTATTAAGATATGCAATTTGCAATTTTTTCTATATGTAGCTTCACTTTTTATTATCTTAATTCTGTCTTTTGGAATGCAAAAGGTTTTTTTTCCCCCCAGCTTTATTGAAATATAACAGACAATTAGTTGCTCATATTTACATTGCACAATTCAATAAAGTTTTTTCAATTATAGTTGACATGCAATAATAATATATTAGTTTCAGTTATACAGCATAGTGGTTAGAGATCTATATAAATAATGAAGGGGTCACCCCACTAAATCAAATACCTCTCTTCCTTTTACTTATTTTTTTACAACATTGTTGACTATTTTCCTTATGCTACACTCTATATCTCAATGACTATTTTGTATCTATCCATTTGTACTTCTTAATCCCTTTGCCCTTTTTCACTGTCTTCCCAACCACTCTCCCATCTAGTAGCCATAAAAATATTCTCTATATCTATGATTCTCTGTATCTTGTTTCAGTTTTCGATGTTTATTTTGTTCTTTAGATTCCACGTGTATGGAAATCATGCAATATTTGTCTTTCTCTATATGACTTCATTCAGCACAATACCCTCTAGGTCCATCGATGCAATGTCTTTTTCCATCCCCTTCCTTTTAGTCTGTGTCTTTTTAAATCTGAAGTGAGTCTCTTGTAGGCAGCATATATAGGGGTCTTGTTTTATTATCCATTCAGCCTCCCTATCTTTTGGTTAGGACACTCAATTATTTTCCATTTGTGGTACTTGTTCATAGACATGTAGTTATTACCATTCTTTATTACTGTTTTTGATACATGTTTTTTCTTCTTAAAGAAGTCTCTCCAACAATTGCTGTAATACTGGCTTGGTGTTGTGGCTTATTTTTGTCTGGGAAGCTCTTTATCTGTCCTTCGACTCTAAATGATAGCTTTGCTGGATAAAGTGTGCTTGGTTGTCAGTTGTGGGTTTTCAACATTTTGAATATTTTGTGCCAAGCCCTTCTGTCTTGTAAAGCTTCTTTTGAGAAATCAGCTGTCAGTCTTATCGGAGCTCTTCCCTTGTAGGCAACTAACTGCTTTTCTCTTGCTGCTTTTAAGATTCTCTTTGTATTTAACCTTTGGCATTTTAATTATGATGTGTTTTTGTGTGGGCCTCTT